TATATATATTATATATATATATATATAGTATATATATATATATATATATATTATATATATATATATATATATATATATATATATATATATNTATGTATATATATATATATATATATGTGTGTGTGTGTGTGTGTGTGTTTGTGTATGTGTGGGTGTACTATATATATATATATATAATATATATGTGTGTGTGTTATGTGTGTGTGTGTGTATGTATAATCATATATATATATATATATACTGATATCTGAGTATTCAAATATGACATATGGACTTGTTTATGTATATGTATATGCGTATATATACATGTATACATATACATATACAGATACATATATCGTTGGCTAAACTATTTCCGTTAGCTTTCCTATAGTGAACAGACCTAGGAGTCCAGTGGCTCATAAAGTGGAGTTTCGCATGTCTGTTTACCCCTCAAATATCGTGGCTAAATTACAATAAGATTCTAATGCCTCTGTTGGTAAAGCGATTGTCATTTTAGAATTGGTGAAATAAGTCCTTGTTTCAACGTCCAATACATATTGTATGCAAATGCATGTGTATGTATGTAGTCAAGCTCTCTTGTGAATTCGCGCGTCAGTTCGTTTCTCTAGAGTAGAGTCGAGTAGAGACTAGAGAGTAGAGACGGCGAATGCAAAATAAATATATTACTGACCACTACATATGTAAAAGTATCGATTGTGAAAACAAAAGTAGACGCGAAAAAAAAAAGCTTTTAAAAAAGCAGCCAATTACTACTTTACAACTAGATCCTCCCGCACCTCGCACCTCGATATTCCGGGTCATTGTCGCTGCGGGCGTGATTGCTTTTGCTGGACTATATTTGTCCCAAAATGGTGTTGTACACTGTACATACAAAAACCGACGCTCGAGTGACTCGCCCCCCAGCCAGCCCATGAATTCCCTCGTATCAGATAATAAAAAGCAAACCCGTAAAAAAAAATTGTACTGCAGTAACAGTTATGCAGTTGGTTAATACTGGTACTTGGTAAGTTGGTACATACATTGTAGTAAATAGGTAAATATGTAGCTTTGTCCCATTTACAGTTGGTACATACTTCTTGGGTCTTGGTAGTTTGTCACATAGCTTGTCCCTTTTAGAAATAAATAATACAAAGATCTGATTGGGTATCGTCTATCGGTCCATCAGCACGGTCGGTACTCGGTCCTCCCAATAACTCGATTGTTTTACAGAGTACCAGAGTGCAGTAGTAAGTATTGTCGCTGGACACTGACGGTGGGGTGGCTTGACATATCTCTTACTGATATAAACGTGCGTATGTGGAGCTGTCCCATTCATACCACTTTGAATACACAACGTGGCAAAACTACACTATACATATAAAATTCGATTACATTAGACTCGTGAAGAGGCTCTAAGGCCGAGAATTCCAGGCGAGTGGGCAAGATAAACAGCGTGCGAAGTAATCACAGAGATAAAACCCGCACATAGTCGAATATACTTGGCAAGGAAATAGATATAAACTCATAGGAATAAGTTCATATCCTCAAACATAACCTTACATCCGCTGAGCTAGACCAGACCTTAAACGGACACGATGCGGGATAGACAGGCGCCGCAGCCAACCAATGATATGCCTGGGCTATCTCCCTTACCATGTTCACGCTCTAGTAGTTCAGCAGGTATCAGGTCACACTCATCGTCCTCGTTTTCACTGCATGCTGTTATGATGAGTCAGGCTGAGCTTCCCGCAGTAAACAAAAAGTCGTTGCTTGAGCTTAAGACGCAGATGCAAACAGAACGGACCCAATCACTACAGCCGGCGCACACGAGCACGAAAGCACACGATATTATACCTCTAGAAGGCCTTCGGATCAGTAATAGTGCAGGTAGCGTTGGTGTGGTAGTGGAAGAGGAGAACAAACACACTGGCACGGGAATCGACAACAGAGGGGTGGCTGCAGAACCGTCACACGTGTTCGTTACACCCAGTTTAGATAGCCTTCCAGAGCATGCACAACTTACAGGCGTCAGTGGTGGTATTAACAGTGCGTCTGGGTGTACTACCTCAGACATGGAGGGCTCACACATTTCACGTGAGAGACGTGCACATGAAAATACACAAACATTCAACGATAGAGAGAAGCACATATACAGAGAGGCAATATCGGCCACTCACACACATCGACCTGTGTCTAGCACGGCACCCATGCGTCGAGGCAATTCACACGACACCTTCAGTCAACCTAAGCAGATTAGCAAAATATCTACCAGGAACCAGGTATACTCATCGGATTGCCTGGGAGACCATGTGCCGGTGGGAAAAAGTAGCAATGCGGGCAAGCGGGCGCAGAGTGAGCGGAGTGTGCAGTTCAAAGGGATGAAGGGGCCCATGCGACATAAACAGCAGCATATACCTCACGCTGAACACGCCAGTAGAAGCCCGCATACAAAATCAGGCAATAGATACTCACACACATCTAATCGGCCTAAGACGAATGCTAGCACCAGCCAGAATAGTCTCCGTAGAATGCAGAGCATGGAAGATCGCACGCCCCGACACCCTAACCCGTCAGCACACCAACAGCAGTACAAACTGCATAGACAATCCAGTCCAACCTCCGAAGCGTGCAGCAGTTCTCATTCTATATCCAATACACAGTATGAGCGAAGCACCTCACACCCACCCCAACACCACCGTAACAGCGATCACAACTGGCACCGCTCCAACGATGACATGCGACGCAGTAGGCACAGTGACGACCAGTTCAGCCAGCGGGGTGGCACGCGACAGTCACACACACGCCCACATACACAGCACACGCATATGCAAGTACGCGCCTCGCAGTCTGCACACACACACCAGTACTACGATGGGCCTAGCCGGGCGGGGTATTGGGGTGACAAAGCGTCGTATAGCCATGATCAGCTGCACTCGGGCAGACCACAGCAGTCACCAGTAGTAGTACAGCAACCCAAACACCGGTCACCGGGGGTCCCTGGGAGTGGTAGAAGTAGTAGGGGTGCGCGGCCACACTCCTCACCGACGGGCCATAGTGGACACGCCGGCAGCAAGTTCACACAGCAGCAGCCGATGCAAGAGAATCAGCTACAGTCCCACAGCAGAAACCACCTGGTGCCGCATGCCACGTCGCACGGTGCACTCAGAAGTGACTCAGATGTACTCTCACCGTCCTTTCACCGACATCCCTTGGGATATGACGATTCAGAGTATGTGGATGAAGAAGGTTACACACATACACAGTCGATGCCTCAACTATATCACGACGGCAGACAAAATGTGCGCACCAGCGTTAATGGCAGTTCAGGGGTGGTGGATGTTAGCAAACAAAAAAGTGTCAATAACAGCCCCGGCTCTCCGATGTTTCAGCGTGACGGCTATAACAACGGAACCATTGGAAGTGACTATTGTAGTGCAGTGATTAACATCGACTATAGTGGAGAAGAGGATCTATCATACGAGGAAGACAGGTACGTTTTTATACTCGGTATAAACATGTGGGTATCTATGACTATAAATTTGTATATGTAAAGTTTGTATATTTAAATATAGATCCGTGGATGGTAGGGAGGAGGACATGTATATACGTGTCAATGCATAAACAAGACATTACAAGTTTATGACACAACATATATGTTAAAAATACATATATACTTTGTATGTATATCTATATATATCTATATACATATATGTATACATAACAAAGTACACAATATATATATATATATATATATATATGTATATGTATATGTATATATATATATATATAAAATGTGTGCGTGTTTGTGTATGTGTGTGTATGTGTGTGCATCTATATATATATATATATGTGTGTGTGTGTGTGTGTATGTGTGTATGTGTATCTGTGTCTGTGTCTCTGTGTGTGTGTGTGTGTGTGTGTTGTGTGTATGTATGTGTGTGTGTGTGTGTGTGTGTGTGTGTGTGTGTGTGTGTGTGTGCATGTATTTATGTATATCAGTACATCCAGATTTGTATGTCTATATAGCTCTGAACAGGCCTTTGATATGCTTCAATTTGGACGTAAATATACACGGCTTTCAGTATACCTCCGCCACGTGAGTGTGAATATATACATACAATCATTAATTTGTTCTGAGCGGTACAATAGTCGCACCTACGTTTGTTTCCGGATTTATATGCATTACATAGTATAATGTTTATTTTACAGCACGTATACTTTTTGTATACATGTCTGCCCAATATATCCTTTTTTGACCAGATGAAGTGTCATCCTTTCCTTCACACAGCTACGTCAGTGACGACCAGTACTACCTGACCGAGCGAGAGTACCATGAAAGTCTTATGGGTTCACTTAGAGACCACATGCCTCAGCCCAGAGCATACGACGAGTACTTGCACAACTCGCGAACAGTCCATGTGGATGTAGGAACGGCTGGTCTCGGCATCAGTATCAAAGGGGGACTGGAATACGGTCTACCTATACGTAAGTTTGAGACATGCTGAGCATACGATTACCTGGTGAAATAGTGCGTTCTCATTGCATAAAAGTGGGGGTTTTTTAATTGCATAGAATACAAGCTGTCCTTTGTCGCCTACGACACTGCCTGAATTGCAAGCACAGCCCATTGGTCACTTATTCAGAGTAATGGCTATGTTTGTCGACTTTTGTCACATGCACAATGCGAGTTTAAAACTAAACGGGTGCCGGCGCGGAAACAAACGTACTTGCGCGTTTGATTGTTTTTATACAATCGTACGGATCCCTGATTCACGTATGATACCAAGATCCTTATAATCATACAACGCCATTATCTAACACAACAGTTGTGGCAGACGTCATGGCGGACGGGCCAGCTTCCAATATCCTGGATATTGGCGACGTGATTCTGACTGTGAATGGGGTGATCGTCTACATGGTCAGTCACGAGGACGCCGTCAGTGTGCTGAAGCAGGCTGGTAATAGCCTGACGCTGGAGGTTGTGCGTGATCCTGCACTGCGCGGTATGTTTGTTGTGGTGCGTTTGACTGAGTTCGCCAGGTACCTCATAATCTGTAGTCCTAAATCCGTAGTGAATTTTGCCGTACCCTACCTGTGGCACGAGCGTGAGGTAGTATTTATAAGTATAGTTTGAGGAATATGAGTCACCGCTACACTGCACAGTCGCAACACTCCATATTCCGGGTGAGGGTGAGGGGTCGGTATCGATTCGATATGTCTTGTGGCGCTGCCCTGCTACACCTTGAACTACAAATGTGTATTCAACTTCGTAAAGTGATCAATCGTATATCAGTGACCCCATAGAACGTGTTTGCAGACGTTGCAACTGTATCGTGCCTAGCTTCTGGGAAATTTTCCATTGTCAGATCAAAACTAGACTGGCTCTCTATCAATTGCTTACCATCTATGCATCAACTTACAATAAGTCGTGAATCCAGTAGCTGGCGCGTGAACAAATAGGCACATGATGCGATGACCTGCAGTACATGTGGAATCACTTCATGCGTACGGGGTTCCGCAACATCACCCTTATCCCTTGATTGCTGTTATCTGCCTCCAAATCAGACCTAATCAAAGGGAGTGTCAAGCCGCAACCAGAAAAGATCAAGAACGATTTTGTACCCACCGTCACCGAGTATCCCTGGTCTAATGATGAAATGCCGGAAGGATGGTACAAGGGCGTCTGCCCCAATACGGACAGAAACTATTTCATCAAGTATGTCTACGTTTGAGCTATACTATGATGCCGTGCGTATGTACAATTTTGACACTTTGATTCTCTATACGAACATTTACTGTGAACCTTCGACCTCAAATTTCACACTATACACTATCCCGTTGTGAGTTGTATCGTAATTTGCTAACGCTTACCGATATTGAATTCAGCCCGCACACGAAGACGACGACCTGGCTGGATCCAAGGGAAGAAATATATTTGAAACGTCATCAGACTTTGAAGAAGCAGGCGAAAGGAGGTATGCTTCTGAGCAACATATGCTGTCAGTGATCTGCAGATTGTGTGCATTGCGTAATGCTGACTGAGCATGAAATACCTCTATTGATGCTACTATTGAACGCGTAAGCACTGAATTAGGGACGACATAGCGAGAATAACACATAGAAACAAGTGAGAACCTTATGACCTCCATTTTACCGTTTGGTGCAGTACATGCTACACATGAAATCGGTAGCTCACACGTTTAAGGTGTTGGGTGATTCGAAACATACGATCTACCGTGGTGGCAATTGCAATTTTCTGATCTAGTCCAATACCACTTTTACGCTACAGTGTTGCCGTTCGGGTGGGAGGAAGTGCGGACTGACGAAGGCGAAGTGTATTACGCCAACCACATCAAGAAAGTCACACAGTGGGACCACCCCAATCCGAAAAAAGAACCCTCTAGAAAAAATAGCTGGGCTATGCTGTGGTCTCCAAGGAGCAGCAAAACAAGCACTGATGAGACTTCGGTGAAGTCTAAATCTAGAGGCAGCCTACTCAGCAACGCACGAGGCAGCATACTCAGCAACGCACGAGGCAGTATATTCAGTAATGCACGAGGCAGTGTCCCCAGCAATACAAGCTTGCCATCGAGGACAAACAGCGTGGCGGTGTAACACTCCCCATGTGCAGTGGGCGCAACGCAACGGCTAGTCCCTATCTTTTGTAAAGCGAGACATACCACTGAAATAAACCACCCTTAAGGTCGTGTTCCTTGTCTCAGGGCTTCAATTGGTGCCCAAAAAACATACCCGTCAAATATGTATATTCATTATTTACAAAGCAGATATTGCTTATTTTGCGCGTGTTCATTCAGTAGAACTATAAAACATCACGGTAAATTCCTAAATATTCTCTTGGATGTGACGTTTGATTCGCTTTGGCCACCCATACCTTTTCGAAGTAAAAGTATAATCTACCGAAAACTATTATATTTGTTTATTTTGACATCCAAAGTTTCACCGAACAATCATTTTCCAATGCTCCAGAGGCGATTATATTTTGCGTTGGGTGACAGTCGCAGCATATCACCACATCTGCGGGTAGTATTTTTTTGTGTGCGAGTAGATGGAGATGAGCATGATGAATGGTCGAGTTTTTAAGCACGCTAGCGTCCACAAACGCATGCGTAGCTTCGCGGTACGATACTGTAGTTTGAACATCAAGCACAAAACACGGTCGATATCATGAGTTCAGAAAAACCAGTGGCACGTACCTTTGTGGCCCTCAAGCTTCTGTGTAATTTTCTTCGACTGTAAGCCCCAGATATAAATACAATGGTCTTCGCTTCCGCACACAACATTGCGCTCTTTGCCTGTGACACTAAAGTTTGCATGTATGCAGAACTTCGAGTTTTTGTGCCCACTGTAAGTCTTCAGACATTTCCCTGTGATGTAGTCGTATAGCCGTAATCGTCTGTGTGGCGGAAAAGTCTATGCACTTTAATATTCGCGAAGTGAGTGTTCTCAGAATGTGCAATACTGAAGACAGAGCGAGGTATGCCGCAGTCAAATTGATCTGAAATTATCATCCATAAGCAAATGAGTGATACAAGTAGCTCGAGCCAAGTAGAGAGTTTTTTCGGGACATAATTCTTGCAACCCTCACTCTCCGACCTGACGGAATTTGACTTTGCTCCAAACGTTTACGCAACTATTTTTTTACAGCGAAATACACTCACAAGTGCCAATGTAAATCTATTCTGATTTTGTTATTATAGATGCTCACGCGATGCCCTTCAGCATTCAAAGGCGCAGAGTGTAACTCAATCAACTCATTTAATCCAGGACACTCAAAAAATAATCTCACCAACGGGACAGAAATACGTATATGTGCACCACATGAGCTAATTCCATTAAATCCTATTAGTGCGTCACATAAGCTAAGTCATTAAATCGTAAATATGCACCACATAAGGTAATTCCAATAAATCCTATAAGTGCATCACATAAGCTAATTCATTAAATAGTAAATGTGCATCACATAAGCTAATTTATCAAACCCTATAAGTGCACCACTTAAGCTAATTGCATTAAATCCTATTAGTGCGTCACATAAGCTAAGTCATTAAATCGTAAATGTGCATCACATATGCTAATTTATTTAACCGTATAAGTGCATCACATAAGCTAATGCCATTAAATCCTTTAAGTGCGTCACATAGGCTAATTCATTAAATCGTAAATATGCACCACATAAGGTAATTCCAATAAATCCTATAAGTGCATCACATAAGCTAATTCATTAAATAGTAAATGTGCATCACATAAGCTAATTTATCAAACCCTATAAGTGCACCACTTAAGCTAATTGCATTAAATCCTATTAGTGCGTCACATAGGCTAATTCATTAAATCGTAAATATGCACCACATAAGCTAATTCTATTAAATCCTATAAATGCGTCACATAGGCTAATTCATTAAATCGTAAATGTGCACCACATAAGCTTATTCTATTAAATTCTATAAGAGCGTCACATAGGCTGATTGCTTTAAATCCTATAAGTGCGTCACATGAGCTAATTCCAGTAAATCTATGTGCACCACATAAGCTAATTCCATTAAATCCTATATGTCATACGGCAGTCATACATGCACAATAATGAATACCATTGTCGTACCCCATGGTATAGTTTGCAGGGATTGAATTTGCTGGACTAGCCGATAATCCTTTCGCATGCGCATCGCAAGTTTGAACATACCCATCAAGCGTGGCCGTGAGAATGTATTTGCCATTTGGTGAGAATTTTACGTATGACACCGGTGTGGTATCATCATCGATCAAAGTCTTGAGGCATTGACCGGTCGCGGTATCCCATAATCGACTACAGGTCAGGGCACAACAGAGTTATTGATAGCGAGTAAGTATGTGCGAAGCCATAACTTAGGCGATTATTTGATGTGTTTTGTATTTCCATAATTTATACATACGGAGCGCTTTCGCAGATGTTAACTCAACCGAGGCAAATGCAATATGATGCAGCCGTCCTTTAACTCGTCGGTACTGACAAGACATCCGGGTTTCGAATAGAATTGGAAATCCAAACTTTTCAATCGATAAACAAGTTGAAATAAGTTTCACAAAGAGCACGCGCGCACACGCACACATGCTAATATATACTTGATCATTTTCTATATTTTCCCTACCATAAACCGTCGTAGCTTGATGACACGATTAGAGTCCCATCCCGGATGAACTCTATGGCAGATACAGCCTCGGAGTGGGCAGGCAAGGGCCGTAAACACCTTCCAGTCTGCATTTACGATAGAAACTATTAGTAAAATAGTGGAACTATCGGAGACGATCCTTCAAATATCAAATACTACTACGGAAACGTATCTTTCAGACAACTATAAATATCCACTGATGCAAATAAAGTGGGTCATCTGTAGCTTAGCTTTATACACCCTTCGTCGGCTCGATATGACCATATTGTAAAATCGAGTTGCATGCTACAAAATCGTTTTGTATGATTTTGTATTGTAGGCAGGCGAGTCCATAAATATACTACTCAACATGGGCCATTAATTCATTAAATACTTGGCAACAACATCTTTAAATACACGTGATAGCTCTAAAGTATTCCGACCTCTACCAACTGGACGTATTCGAGACAAGTTTTCTAATTGTATACAACCATGCATACCTTTACATCCCATATCCTGACACTCTCGTCATACGAGCCTGAGACGATTAGCGTAGACTGTGGATTGAAATTAACGCAGAACACATAATTTTGATGTCCCTCCAGAGTTTTACAGCACTGGCCCTGTCTCGTAACATACAGCAAAAGATTGGGCATGGTTACTGTATTGACAAGTCATTGTATATGATGCATTATAAACAACATAGTGTTTTTACGCACTATAAGCGACAAGCACGACTCCGGTGCCTTTCTAACAGCCCGCAGAATGGCGCTACAGATCGTATAGTCTGACATACCGTAGAAACATCCCATATCTTTATCGTCGTATCGTCCGAGGCACTGCATAAGTAGCGCGAGTCTCCTGACCACGCGATATCATTGATCCCTTGTGTGTGTCCCTCGAACTGTCGCATAAAACTGTACTTCACAAAGAAGGATGTGCCCAGTCAGTTTCAATGGTGCTGGCGTTATAGTTGATAGGTACTGCGAAGACTCCCCAGAATTGCCGCTACATTGCTCAGAGATTATTTTTTTTGCGCGAGAGAAGCCTTGGTTTTCGTGTGTAAGCTCAAACGATCATGCGTGTAGAGGCTGCGCCTGTGGCCATTTACATCTTCTACAATTGCTACATCGAGCCCGCATAAAGTCAACATGACGCAGGTGATGAGCTCAAAATACTATCTTCGCAACATTTTGAGCGGAAAATATTAGTATCTATCAAGAAAACAGCAGAAAATGCAAGGCAAAGTATTGTGAATCAGTCAGAACATTTAAATATGGCGAGGCCTCCTGACTCACAGAAATCGGTGTATGAAAGCTGCATGAGTACCTCGCCCCTGAATTGCGCGTAAGGTGGCTTAAATTTAATTTCTGTTATTCATCACACAATAGTACCTTGTTCAATTCGTATGCGACATTGAACGAATATATCAGACATGCCAATAGAATACTATCCACCTGTCGTTAGATTCCTTTTTGCATAATGACTTATGAGATCCTAAAATAAATATCCCAACTGACCCAAATACGGTTATGGCTTGCCAGCCATTAAAGTGCACATGAAAACAACTGCATAAATGAGCGTATGTATTGCAATTGAGATTCTCACACCAAACTTCGAACATGCCTGCCATTAACTGCATCCCAAACGATGATAATCTGATCAGCCGATGCACTGGCGACCCATTTTCCGTTCGGGCTAAACTTTACAGACGACACAGCTTTCCGATGTCCAACAAGTGTATATGCTAGTACATAGTGGGTCGATTCTACGTCTGTATTGGTCATTGCACTCGTGTATACGTTATTGTAAATGCGTAGAATATGAGTATCGTTGAATGCAGCAGGGGATTCTAAATCACAAATACTGGTTGCGTCATAGCCTCCTTGTTCAATTTAGGAGGCTATCATTTGGTTGCGTCGAAAGAAATATTTCCCGCCAAAAAAAAGTTTGTGATAAAACACGGCTGGGGCGCCGTGAAACGTTTATTCAAAGAGGGTATTCATTTAGCTAATAACTACGTTTTCAGTGATAAATACATACTCCTTCATTTTGTGGCCCTGTGGGCTCTGCCCTGTGCGGCTGTGCACTGTGGCCTGTGGGTTGTGGCCCTGTAGGCTCGCATAGGGTAAGTGTGCTGGCCAAACTTGAAAAAAAAAGCCCGAAAGGCGTTTTATTAGGCCTATTGGCGCCGCAGGCGCCTCTTGGCGACATCTTCGGGGTATTAAACAAACAATCATCACCTTCTATGATGTCTTCCACCTTGTCAGATGTAATTGACAGTCTTGCTAACTGCACATCCTTCTTTGCCCGCTCCTCAGCCTGATTGGCATGATTCACCTTTTTCTTGGGACATTTACTGAACCGATGTGGGGCTGGCATTACCAGGCAGTAGGGACATGCCCGCTCTTCACGTGCCCCCTTCTTCTCCTGTGCCTATCCCATTGTTTTGTTTTGGTTAGTTGCATCATTGTCTGTTTTATAGCGTTTGTTAGCATTGGTAGTGTTATCCTCTGTTCGGACGGTTGTTTGTGTGTTGTTTCGCTTGTTTAGCGCTCGCACTTGATCCCTCAACATACGCTTTCCTTGCATCACGGCTGCCATTCTTATGTGTGACTCGGTCATAGTATGAAACTTGGTGTGTTCTATGTGTGACAAGTGCCCTTCGCTCCCATCTGGTTACTTATCTTCTTTGACTAGAGTATCCGCCAGTGTTTGCTGTCCGTAGTACTTAAGTGCTGGGTACCTTTGTACTTTGAGTAGCTGAAATTGTATGGGTTCCTTGTCTGAGTTGCGGTAACGCTTCTCTAACATCGCCATTGACGTTCAGTTTCTTGTTCTGTATGCCATTGACAAACTTCTTCAACAGATAGTCTACTGGGTGGGTTCTGAGTCTGTATATCAATAATAATCCTATTGAATTGCTCGGGTTCCTTGAAGTGCTTAGTCGTATGCGTCTCAGAATCTCTCAAGTTATTGAGTACTGACTTGGTCTTCTTTGTTGCATTAGTGGAATCTAATAGGTTTGTTTCTAGCGCTGGGTACTGATACAGTTGCATGGACTTTGCTAAGAATAGGTCGCTACATTGTGTAGTAAACTCTATGAGATATTCATAGTTTGCCATTCTAAAGTAACTATCTTTAGGCATCTTAGAAAATTCTGAAGTCTTTAGTAATTTTGCAAGAGGTGGTTCATTTATCTGGTCGCCTAAGCGTGAACGCATGAGCTCTAACTCACAAATCTACTGACTTATTTAAATGAGGCCGTCTTCCTCATCATCGCCACAGTCGTTGAAAGCTAAATCATATCGTCGTCTGAGTTCCGCATCCACGAGTGGCATGCGTCGTTCTGGCTGTTGGTCGTGAAAGCCTACCCTCATCTTGTGTAGAGTAGGTATCGGCACCGGTACTGTTTATTCCAGCTTGGACACAAATCTACTCACCAGAAAGGTATTGTCTTGACAAATACGCTTGGCTATTTCTAGACGCATTACTAATGCTAGTATGGGTACCCCCGCCGGTGTAGGCTGACCAGAACTACTCCTAAACCCTAAAACCCTAAACCCTGTACCTATGAGGTGTAAAAACGGTGTTTGTTAGTCAAGCTTATTTTGTCACGTGTGATGTCACTTGTGCTTATTCCTTTATATGAGAAATTAATTTCTCATATGTGATCTCAATGAGATGTTTGGTTCTAGTGACGTCGCTTGTTGAAGTTCGGTCCTGTCCAAGATGTTATGTCTTAATGATATCTCTGGGGAAGTTGAGTCTTGTTGACGTCACCCCTGATGTTCAGTCCTGTACTAAACCTCTAGTTGTCTTTGTCTTTGTACCGAACTGTGTTGGTGATAATGTCACCTGTTTTATTATGTAATATATATCCTATTGTCTACTCGTTTCTGGTTTTGAACCTCGACTCGTGTGTGCTTATTCAGCTTGCGTGTGCGCATGTGCGCTTGTGGACCTATGCTCTTTTGTGCCCTTGTTTGTGTGTGATGTTAGGCTGGATTCTCCGCACTATAAACTTTCTTATGTTCTATCAGTAGCGCTTGGTATTCGTGTACAACTTGTAGTGAGTTGATTACTCTTGCCACTTCAATCCGTCTGTTTAAATCTCACGCTTGTGTGTTAATAGTATGGTCTTTGTTCTGTGTGGGGAACATTTGATATTCGTATTTGGAATCTGAGCGATTTCCTGATTCTACCCCTTACAGCTGTGTTTTTGAGATTTGGTTGTTCCAGTGTCTTGCATTATGACTGGTATACGAGATATCCTTCCTGTTATGTAGTTGTGTCTCGCTTGATTACTTGGTTGGTGTCATGGAATTTATTAGATGCTTATTTCCGAGATTTGATCGATCTTAGAGCGTCTTTTCTTTTGTGATCCTTGATACTTATGTGCTTTTATACTAATCTACCTTCTCTGTGTGTGTTTATGACTTGACTGTGGTCAAATTAGAAGTGAGCATGTGTGCTTCTTCTCTAAATCTCTATGCTTGTCGTACTATTTGTGCTAGTTGTGGTGTGTTTCTGTTTGAATCTCTTGTCTGTCTTTATAATACTTCTAGAAACCTTGGTATTTACTATCGATATCGAAGTCTTAATAGCGACTTGTGTTCTACTATTCAGGTAGTGTTTGAGATCTCATCCTCTTTGATTTCCGCCTTTTGTGTGATTCCTTGAATACCTCTCCTATGTGATTGATAGTTGGAGTTTGTTTGATATCCTTTCTGCGGAACCTTCTAAAGTGATATATATAGGATGTGTACCATACGTATTTATGTCTATATATAGGATGTGTACCATACGTATTTATGTCCTTTAAGATTTTATCCTATTAAATTTACCCCGTTGTGTGATTCTTTGGATCCCTCTCCTATCTGATTGATAGTCTGAGTTTGTTTAGTATCCTCTTTGTAAAACGGTCTTAGGTAATATATAGGATGTGTACCCGACTTCTTTATGTCGTTAAGTGGTTGTAAATATTGTTTAGACCTTTACTATCCTATATTCTTGTATGAACATATGCATTTTGTACGAACACTAGTACCAATCATGTGTGAACACGGCTTCCTAAAAGTCATACAAACGGATCAGGGCATATAATATGTATATGACATACTCTCGAAAATCTTTGAGCAGGCACCGTCACAACACCTGGTGTCCAGACCATATCAACCCAAAGTACTGAGAGCAAGTGAGCGCTCACATAGAGACCTCATACATTTATTACGAAAGCTTGTTGAACAAAATCCAGGCAACTGGTGCTCACGCCTTCCATTTGTTCAAATGGGCCACAACCTATGTTCATCACGCAGACACAAATCACCACGATTCAATGTGTACTATGGACGACGACAAAACTAACTTACCAACTATAACACACCAGTCAGTGCACCCGGTACAACAATACCGTGGGAAACAAGACTGAAGGATCTAGAGGAGTCGATACGGCCACAACTAGATGCAACTGTTGCACAATATCAAGAAAAAATGCTGCCAAGAGAAATAGGTACACTTCCAGGAAGGGGACATTGTGATGGTTCGTTACCCAGATGAAATGAATAAAATGACAGCACCATACGGAGGACTATACAAGATAGTAAGCAAGGAGGACAGCGGGTATTTCGTCCGTAACCTTGATGGGACTAAGCCCCCGAATATTCTAACTCGGCCAGTGATGAATTAATTGGCCTAGTCAAGAAGGCTAGTGAGCTAAAAGAATTTACCACCAACAGTCAAGTACAACCATCGGACGAGACCCAATTCTACTCGATACTTGACCATAGACCATTCAAAAAAAAAGGTGATGGATCCCAGGAACACCTACTGCAATGGATAGACGGGGAGCGTACCTGGACGCATGAATCAGACATCGCAGATGCTGATATTCTTACAATATGCCGACATCGTACTAGACACAAGCGAAGGCAATCCAGGCCGACGAAGTCAACAGCAACAGATACGGATGAACTATCAGCGAGCAACAGGAAGCGCACGAGGCGGGGAACTCAACAAGTTACACTGACTCCAAGGATACTCTCTCTTTTCTCACGTTGGAAAATGCTCTGCCCACAAACCAGAGGGATAAAGACCAAAAACTCGGTTGCAGAGCCACCATTGAGATAGATTTTCCTAAGCCAAGTTGAGATCAACCGAGAACACAGGTCAAGACTGACTCCGATGAGCGTGGTCGAGAACTACTATTATTTAGTATAAATTAATTTAATAGGTAATATTTAAGAATAGATGATGATGGCAGGTTTTTCATTTTATGCCCCTTAAGGGTCAAGTTTTTCCCTGTACAAAAACAACAACCTCTAGATAGTCAAGTACTATAAGTTGTCACTTTCTAGTCCTACGCAGGCTGAGAAGCATAACACTGGGGGGCTGTAACATCCAGGGACCAGATTATCAGAAACCCCAATCCAAAACTCAAACCAAGAATTATCAAATACTGACCTTTGGATCTAGGATCCATTATTTCTGATGATAGAGTGATCAGAAATATAGCGGGAGATCCGGTAGATGGTACCGAGACTCCCTTGTGTAAGAGAAACGCTTAAGTAATATTTGAGACTAGTGTAGACAATACTAAACACAAATAGACTCAATGCGAGTACTTCAGGCTAAGTCTTTACCTAGCTGATAGATTCGCACTTGAGAAGAGAACTATTGTTTCCTTCGGTCGTATCTTGCAATCTACTCTCAAACTCTACAACTGATAGAACAAGACCCGATGATCGTTGAGAACACGAACAACAGGTTCATGAAAGAGGGCACGACAGCCTGTGAAAAAAACACCATGGGGGACACACTAGTAGTCATATAGGCACAACAGTACCATACTTTGACCAAAAACGATTGTATCAGTACAAACTGATGACGAGTCAACAGAGCTAGCCACAGTCACATATGAGGATAGAGTTACTCTGATAGATCAATACCACACTTTGGGCCACTACACTGTCGAAGAAACAGTTAACAAACTGCAACTAGATGGCCATACATGGTCACGCCAGAACGAACATATAAACAAATACATTGAAGGCTGTGTTCCGTGTCTCAAGAACAAAATATACATGAAGGGCTTTCACCCCTTACAATCAATAACGGCCGCATTTTCGGACAAATGGACACCATCGGTCCCTTCGTAGACTCGAATAGACAACACATACGTACTAATTGCGCTCGATGTGCACTCATCATATGCCATACTTAGACCAATTGTAGCATCTAGGAACCAAATTATCAAAAAAGCCAATTCTAAACCCAAAACCCAGGATTATCAAATATTGAGTTTTGGATCTAGGATCCAATATTTCTGATGATAGAGTGATCAGAAATAGAAGCGGGATTACCAGTAGGTGAACCGGGACTCCCGCGTGTGAGTGAAACACTTAAATAATAATTGAGTCTAGTGTAGAAAATAATAAACACAAATAAAGACTCAATGCGAGTCCTTCAGCTCGGAACTTTACCTAGCGGGGAGATTCGCACTTGAGAAGAGGTCTATTGTTCCCTTGGTCGTATCTTTCAGTCATTCTTAAAATCTACACGTATGAGCTCTAACTCACTAATGTACTGACTTATTCGAATGATTTCATCTTCCTCATCGTCACCACAATCGTTGATCGCTTGGTTATATCGTCGTCTGAGCTCCGCATCCACTAGTGGCATGCGTCGCTCTGGCTGTTGGTCATGAATGCCTACCCTCGCCTTATGTAGAGTTAGTATAGGCACCGGTGCTGTTTGTTGCAACTTGGACGCAAACTGACTCACCAGAACGTGATTGCCTTGACAAATACTCTTGTCTATTTTTAGACGCATTGTTGATGCTAGTATGGGAACCCCAGCCGGTGTAGGCTGACCAGAATCATTGCCTGGACTTGGACCCCTCCCACTGGTCTGACTCCAGTGTCATCAGCGCCTTCACCTCTTTCCCTACCACCATATACGCCTGCTCTTGTTGTCGTTGGTATCTTGAGATGTCTGCGATGGTGTGTGGGTATGTACTGTAGATTGTTAATACAGTCTCTTGATATATTTTCGAGCGAATATACGCGCTCCAACCCCCTTGTCTTTAGTAATAAGCCAAACGAATAAATATTTCATTTATTTATTTTACCTACTATTATAGTGTTGTTGCTTTGCTGCACTTCTGATGGAAGTGTATACTGTTCTGTATGGTACGATAGCTTGTTGCTTTGTTCCCTGTATTTATGAGGTGTAAAAACGGTGTTTGTTAGTCAAGCTTATTTCGTCACGTGTGACGTCACTTGTGAATTCTCATATTAGACCTCAATGAGATATTCGGTCATAGTGACGTCACTTGTGGAAGTTCGGTCCACTGAAGATGTATTGTCTTGTACCGAACTTATTTATACGTGTGTGTTATTTGTAATGTTTCTCCTTCTTGACTTGCCCAAGAATGTTCCCTTGTACCACACTCACTGAATGTTCCCTTTTTTTTTTGTACCGTGCTTAGGTTGAGATGCCTCACGGATTATTAGACCTGTCTGGTTGATGTTCGTTCCTCAGACCTGGATGTAATCGTGCTCCTGTGATTCAGTGAATGTGTTCTGTTCACTTTGAGTGCTTAATACTTCCAACGTCGATTCTCTTTGTGTCTCTTGGTCGTTTGTGCCCTCTTCTGAATCCATGATCTGTCATTGACTAGTGATGTCTAGTGTTTGTTGAGTTAGATTGTCATCTCTACCCGTGTATATCGCGCGTTCGGTGTATCACTTCTATTGTGGGCCTAGATTTGTCTCGTGTTAAGTCTGGTATTGCTCTAATTGCGTATCTGCCTAGGGTTGTCTGACGGTTACTCTTGAATTGGAGTGTCCATTTGAATTGGATGTATCACCTTGGAGAACAAATTGTTTTTGGGGTGTGACTTCCACTAATTGTTTCTGACTGTGTTTGTGAACTGATTTTTCTTCCTAGTACTTTGTTGACTTCCACTAATTTGTTCCTGTATGTGTTTCTGAACAGTTTGATCTTCCTAGTACTCTGTACCTTATGGTGTTTGACGTGTAATTCCTTGTATGTGCGTCCTTCGAGGCCTCTTGGTATCCCTCATTCATTTATTTGATGCAAATTGCACTATGAATGTTCTTGGTTTACCAGTCTCTTGTCCGTTCTTGCTTGAATCGTCGCCAGTGTGATCTCACAGTCTCGCCGAGTGCAATCTATTGCTACACTTCTTCAATGTTGTGTGGTGTTGATCACTTGTTATAATTCGTAATTGATACTGGTTTGCAAGCTTTGTGTTCTATTATGTCAGCCCTGTTTGTCCCGGTAGCCACAAGTTCACTACCAGCCAC